TAGCAAATCTGATTTTTAAAAAAAAATGATTTTGTTGTCACTAAAACGTTTATGTTGTATTTTTTTCGAAGTCCCACAATAGAGAATATTATATCTGCAATATAGTTAAAAGTTAAAAGATGAAGAGTTTTAAAATAGAATTTACAGGTTCGATAGGGTGATAGTGCTTAACTCAAACCTAAGAACAACTGAAGATTAAACATGCGCAATCTTTATAATTCTAATTTTAAGATTGAACCATAAAACCAGCTTAGCCATAGCTTGAACCTAAACATGAAGAAACGCTAAATCTTCTCGCCATCTTTGATCCATAAGCTTAGCCCTAAACAAAATACTGAACTTAAAAAAGCAAATAATGACTATGATTCTATTAGTCCTTTAGATTCCCTAATACTTTGTAATATCATTAATACATAACAAATCAAATTATTAAATTGTCGAACGAAAATCAAACATTAAAACCGGGACTGAACAAGGCTGAGTAGTAGACAAGCATTCAATCTGATTTATATATAAGGTCAGGTACCGCCTCTTCCCACCATAAAATGGAAAAGCAAAAGATTTTAAAATTCTAAGCAATAATAAATGAGCGAAAGAGACTTTAAAAATTCTAAGCGTATTTTGCTAACAAATGAACGAACACTAATAATTTATAATAAAGATAATTAGCAGTAAAAGTATTTTGCAAAGCAAATAAAGAAAAAGAAAAAAAAAGAACATTGCGTCTAGTTGATTTTAGTGAATAACCGATGACCTAGTTTTGTTTACGATAGATTCAAATCATATTGATTGTAATCGATATTTTAGAAATATTTATAAATGTGTTTACAAGATTTTTAGAAGAAAAGAAAATAATTAAAACTTTTTACTTTAAGATTGTCAATCTCTCTTTGTTGCAGAGTTTATTTTAAGTATTTCTACGGGGTTATTACTCCCCCTCCCCCAAACTTACCTCCCCCGGTACACAAACAAAGCCCACAACCCCCAGTCAAAACAGAAGAAATAGCATTTACATAGGAAATATATAGTTCAACCATTGTCCACCTCCCACCCCCTGCACAATATTGCTGGTGTCCATTCCTTACTGAAGTAACATTTTTGAGAAATTCCTGCTGTTTATATTTTGGCAGTCAATAAACGACAAAACAAGACAAGCAACAAAAATAATAATAAAGTAAAGAAAAAAAAACTAGCTTTATGAGTAAAATAGTCATTGAATTTATTTAGAGAAAATTATACAAGTTCCTGACTACCAAGTACAGTGGCATCGCCGGCTGTAGTTAAAATTGGTGAGAAATATGGAGAGGTAATAGGCAAACTGCTACGTATACAGGTAATTCAAAGGGCAGATCGAATGAAATACAAAAGTAAATTTTACAACAGGGTTTTCTTTACCTTGTTTGTGTTGGGGACATGTCAAAAGTTAAAACACTTATACATATATATATATATATATATATATACATATATATATATATATATATATATATATATATATATATATATATATATATATATATATATATATATATATTTGTAAGTATTTTAATATTCTTAATTTTTGACTGGGGACTTTTTTTGTACAATAAAAAGGTATAAGTATGTTGAATGTACAATAATTCATGTTTATATATAGGTATATGAGTATATAATGACATACAAGTGGATTTATACTGACCATTTTATATATATATATATATATATATATATATATATATATATATATATATATATATATATATATATATACATACATATATATATATGTAGAACATAAAATATAACAATAGTATTTTGGCATTTCTTACAATTCCATATACTAAGTGTGCAAAATAATGGCTTGACTTGGTATTGATTAGATTGTTTCTGTTCATCACATAAGAATAATTTATATCATTAAATTTTATATTAGGTAAATTTTAAGAAAATATAAATCTAATTAGAAAATAAGACCGAAATATGTTATTTTTTTAGTAATATGTGGATTATGATTAAAATTTTAAATATAGAATAAAATAAAAGGAATAAATTAAAATTTACTTTTAAAAGATTATTTTTTTAAAAATACTTTGTTTATATGAAGAATAAAAATAGGAAACCCTTTAATTAAAACACGGCTAAATCATTTTAAATCAGTGTTTACATTTTAATAAATGCTTGTTTTTATCCTAATATATATTTTTAAACATAATACTCTAATGCATTTTCTCAAATGCATAGGGAAAATACAAATAAATACAAGTGACTATACCTAAACATAGATTAAATATAGGTTAACTGTTAATACTAATTCCATCATGTGAAACAAATCTGATTGTCATTTTGGACGAGCTTGTAGCTACTTCCTGAGGTTATGTATCATGTTTTTTTTTTTAATTTGTTGTTCAGAAAAAAAATGAACAAAATATGGAAAATAGTATTTGGAAAAAAAAACGTAGCTAGATTAAAAAAAAATGTGAATCTTAAAATACAAAGAAGGAGAATGGGGCAGAGAGTTGTGGTGATGGTTAGAACATGATGAAGATTTAACCTAGCCATTGTACATAAAAAGTGACTCGCCGTGTATTACATGACGTCATACAACAAGCAGTTGGGGGGGGGGGGGAGATGGGGCGGGGACGGTGGATGGTGAGGAATTTTGTTCTTTTATGAACGAAAGGCGGTTGAAGTTTATAGAGTCTGATGTTACCCACTTAAAAAAAAAGAAGGAAAAAAACAAGCAAAATGAAAACCGGACGTTGGTTAAAAAAAATATTAATTTGGTTTTTAAAATAATACTTTATTTTTAAATAATAAATTGTAGAAATAATAGCCCTTAAATGCCTAAACCTGACCTGAAAATTAAAATTTGTAAAGAAAAGCATGGAAACAGGGAGGTGGCGAATTCTGAAACATGACTTTATTTAAATTATTTTTAATTTTAGAGATCTAAATTTTTCTGGTAATGTGCTGTATAATTAAGGAGAGTGGAATTTAAAAGTTGGCCCAAAGGTGACATCATCTAACTCCAAACACAACACATATATTGATTTTGTTTTATTGTCCTGGCCAAGTGTCTTACATTAATTTTAAAACAATGATTAGATTAGATCTGGTAAACAATCAAAACTATGACAACTTTTCTAGAAATTTAAAGTTTCGATCTAAAAAAATGTTTTAATTTTATTATTTACAATTTTAATAAGTATAATTATATTTAATTAGCCTAATTTAAATTACCTAATAATTTTAAAGTGATTGATTCTTGTCTGAACATAGTCGATACTGCAAAGATGTATGGATTTAACAGTCACAAACACAGTATTAATTAGCTTGAGAACGTTGTGGGCCAGGACGTAGGTCAACACAGTTGTGTGTTTTCCGGGGCTATTTATAGAAAGCGACGACCCAGCTAAGCAAAGGGAGACTATACTTCAGATAACAATTATTACTGCCCTTGTAAATATTGCATGTACGCTGCTATTTAAGGCACGATTTGTTTATTATATTTGGGCAAGGATGTTGGTAATACTGTATCATAGTTTACATTAAACAAACAAAATATATTAAATAATATAAAAATCAGCAACAAGTAGTTTATACATTTAACAAAATTTAACAGAATGAAATTAAAATGTATACCAGTGAAATGAAAACAAGCACTACATCCAGCTAATTAATTAAATTAGAAATGCATCATCTGATAAGCTTTAACATAAATTGAAAATAATTTTTTTAAACAACTGAAATTTAAAAAAAAATAATTTTCAGAAAGTACAACATTTTTTTAACAGAAGACATACATGTATGCAATTTTTTAAAAGATAACAATCATTTCTCTATACCTTCTGTGTTAGCTTTGTTGAAAGAAAACGTGTTATATATTTCTCAATGTGTTTTATTTTCAAGAAGGGAACAAGAAATCTTATTTGTTAAACAGCTGTACAAATATCAATATACAAGAAAAACAAAGTCAGATACGTTGAACACATTCTTTTTCTCGCGAAAGAAAATATCTTTGTAAACACACTTTTTTTTACCTATTTGTCTTACAACCTTACTCAAGGGACATAACTGTGGTAATGACGCTTAAAAAAAATAATATGAAAACAAAACAATGATCTAACAATCCCACATTGTTGTGTTTAACTTTCACAGCCACATAATGCCAAGTAAAATACAATTGTTCCTTTAGGTACTTAGGTTACCGGTAGAAGAAAATGAACTATTGATCTATCGTGGGAATATTTATCGTATTGCTGTGTTGACGCCTGTATGTTATCACTACCTGAATAGACTAGTAGCATGTAGCTTGTTGGGGAATAAACATATGTCGTAGTTTATAGTAATCAATGACTGCATTGTTTGTAAGATTCATTTAAATCAAAGACTTATTGTTATACGTAGAGCACTTAAATCAAGAGTAGATTTTTTTTCTGCGCAATTATGGATTCTGTTGTGCATTGTTTGGAAAAAAAATGACATAGCTATTTTTTTGTTACTAATTTAGCTTGTATAGGGCTCTTATTGATGTTTAATTTATGTTTTTTTTTTTTTAATTCAGGTTTTAACACCAAAATTACCTGCCTTTCAGGGTAATTATAATATTTACTATATCTGACTCACACGACTAGCTCTATCTGCTAGATGGTAGCTATTTCTTTTCTAAGACAGTAATCAGCCCTTCCTCAAAGACAGTAACTAGCCCTTTCTCCAATTTAGTATCTTGTCATTTCAATAAGATAGTAACTCCATTCTTGCTTTTTCTCAAAGGTAATAATTTGCCATTTAACCAAGATAGTAAATAGGCATTTTTCTAAGATAGTAATTACCCTTTTTATAATAAAAAAAAACTATCCCTTTTGTATATTAAACTTAAATAAATCTTGTGAATCCTATGAAATAAACTTGGAAAAATATTAACTAACAACAATGTTTTGCCCACTAGTGATACGGTTACAAAACGCTATAACCAAGATGCGTAACTCTAAATTCTCTCTATTACCTCCCCTAGTCTAAAAAAAATAAATTGTGTAAAAAAAAAATGTCTAATAAATTATTAGGAAAAAAAAATTGACATCCCTTTAACTTTAACAGAAATGGGGAATGAACTTGTGAATATACTTTGCAGTGACGCTTCCTGGGTTGTTGTTCTTTTGTATACAAACTTGACATCGTAAACACAAATGACGTTTCTGAATGCCGCCTGCTTATGTCAAACTTTAGAAAAGGATAGCCTATTACAGTGTGTAGAAATTATTTTTTAAGTTAAAAATTATGTTGATCTTCTTTGTTAGCGCTGTTTTTAGAAACTACGCTAATATGATAGCTTACAAAATAACAGTGTTATCTAACTACTTATATTTTAAATAACAAAATGAGACATAAGTTTAGAGCTTCTACTCTAGAATATTAGCTTGTGTCTTCATTTGATATAAAGCATTGAAAAAATAGTTTTAAAAAACATTGCATTATAATTGAATGTGTGTAGTTATTTTTCACCATAAAATTATTTTGCCGAGTTTGGTCCCTTTACATGGTTTGGTCCAATTTATAATTTGGTCCCTTTAAAGTAATGAGGCTAATCATTTCTAAGATAATTTTTTTTTTAAATGGCAAAGGGTGGGGAGTGGATAACCAAAAAAAATATCCAAATTTTAATTTATCAAGTTAAGAAGAAAAAAAAAACGAAAACAAAAATGGGATGAAATAAATATATCACAATAACATTAGGTTTGGTTTGACAAACTAACGAATGGCACAATGGTAAATAAATAAAACAATAGCCTGACAGGTATCCAGGTGAAGTATATTCAAAGGCCGTACACTACAAACACGGTATATCACTTCATGTAAATACCCAAAGAGGTGCTTTCAATCTTATCACTCAACGTAAGGTTGTAAAAAATAATTTAATAAACATCACATAGAACACGTGTATAGACAACTACTGTACATATTGAAAACTAAAAAAAAAGGTTAACAAAAGTTTTCTGAGGTTAAAACAAACAAAAAAAACTGCCTTGTAAGTTTGCTAAGGCAACACTAGACGGAATAGTGGGGCATAGCAAAGATACTTTTCTAAATCTAGCCTAAGTCTCTTTCATGCCCCGTAAATAACAGTCTTGAACCAAATGTAAAAAAAAAGGTTTGTAGCCTAGTCTAGCGGTAGGAAATAATTTTAAAAATAGCAGCATTACATATGGGTCATCTGAGGTAATGTCTTCCCTTTTTCGTCCTTTACATAGTCCCTCGGCACCACAACGACTGTGTCATCGCTACCTGCAATCAAAGAAACAAAACTCGTGTCATTGTTGGTCGTTTGCTGAATGGAAAGATTCAATAATACAATGGCTAGTAATGTACAATTATTATATATATATTACCACTTTATCCTTCCTCAAATCAAAAGTATGCCTACAGTGTAATATATATATATACATATATATATATATATATAAATATATATATATATATATATATATATATATATATATATATATATATATATATATATATATAATGTATGTATGTATGTATGTATGTATGTATGTATGTATGTATGTATGTATGTATGTATGTACGTATGTATGTATGTATGTATGTATGTATGTATGTATGTAGGTATGTACAATCTAGTATATAAAATACTAAAAAGTATCAATAACCAGTGGTATATTTAACTTTAAATAAGAAATAAATTGTAATTCCATATTTTGAAATAATTTTGAAGGTTAAGTCTGCAAAAAAACTTGCCAATACAATTTAAATAAAATATTATTAACATTTTTTTTTAAAAGTAGCTTTTGTAATGTATATATTTTACATACTAGGAATAAGACTACAAATCTGATGCGTACTACTTTACGTAAATACTAAAAATCGAAGAAAGAACTTATTCTGTGTACAATACAAGAGCAAGAATATACTCTTTTACTCATCTGAACTATGAATACGTCCTGGAATAAGTATTAGAAATAGAAACGTGCAGCTTACGTTTGCTAAAAAAATAACATAACATGAGTGGTATTTGAAGATAAAGACACAGGAAAAACGATAAAATATGCTTTTGTTAAGGCAAAGTATTTTTGTTTGAATTGAAAGTAAGTTTATAGATCAATTCAGGTTCGACTCCCATATTTCCGTCCTTAACTATCAAAGCGTTCATCCAGCTAGCGTTGTTGTTTTTTTTCAGAATTTTTTCTAGGGGTGAGGGGTGGGGGTACTTATAAATCTCGGTAGGAGTAGGGTGTACACTGGTAAAAGTATATATTTTCTATATAAATTCTATTTCATTCCAGGGGGGTAGGGGCAGAAGAATGATTGCGTGCTCAAGTAATTACTGCATCCAACTCTGATGGGTACTTGACTCAATGCAAATCATGCAAACACTGCTTGACGATTGGATCCACTATTCTAGGGGGTCACATAAACAGGTAAACTCTACTTTATCTACACTATTTACCTTCAGTTTAGAGAGTAAAAAGTTGAATTTTTTTAATATACATTTGTTACACATTTTGACCCCACAAAATTAGCGGCTGAATAGTCTTATATATAAAAAAAAGTTAGTTATCTATGTGGGAGCAGTAGACGATAGCTTCCCCACAACCTGTTACTGATGTTCGTCTGCCCACACAGACGATAACTGAGATACGCTCACAGGGCGGTCCCTACCACGGGTGTTATCGTAAATGACGCAGCAAATTCTTCCCCCTGCCTGTTAGGGGTGTTGTGAGTAAACACAATTCTGGAACCAGGGCACGGGTCTCAACTTTCACGTCTGCGTGTCTTTCAATGATGAACGTAATACCAGTGACGATAACAGCATTCGTGAAATAAGTAAGAATTACTCAGCATTTTTATTTATTTATTTATTGCGTGCGAAGAAACTAAAAATTTAAAGCGCGAACACACGCATGCGCGTTTTCCAGGTCATACAGGGTCAAGGTGGTTCGTGGGTCAAGGTCTAAGATGCTGAAGAAAAGAAAACAGAGTTTTTAATTCTCCTATCACCGAAATTTTTTTTTTTAATATAAAAACTGATAATTGAGAAAATCTAAATCCAACAAAAACACTTAAGTCAAGGTCATTCTTTAAGTGCAAAGGCAAAGAATAAAATAAGATCTTTTTCTAACATTATTAATAAAGAACCAAAAAAAAATAATTTAAAAAAAAAAACGAAAAAAAAAAAAAAAAAACATCAAAATGTATGGTTTCTGCGTTGTTGTTTTTTTTTTACTGAAATTTCGTTTGCTATAGATTATTGTGATTGAAATCGTTAGAAATAGCGCAAAACCATGACCTGTTCAGTGGAGGGGGTCTGACTACAGTGATGGAATAAAAAGGAAGAGGTGGCAGTTTAGACTAATGACAGCATACTAGGTTGGGGGAGAGGGTGTATGAGTTTTTAGACGGAATAATAAGGATGAGGTCTTTAGTTGGAGACGAAACAATAAGAACAGGGGGGGGGGGTGGTGTACTTCTTTTATGATAGTGTTTGTATAACCAAGAACAAACTAAAAGGCAGAAGTTGTTTGATTCTGGAGTTGTCTCTCCTAGAAGAGTTGCTGTCTCCAGCTATCGAGCCTCTTCTGACCGGGGGTTCAAACTTGTATAGCAACCACGAGCTTTACCGACCAGATCACGCGAAAATACTTATTTATGTATGGCTAAAGTAAAACGTAAAATCGAAAGTAAAATGTGTATTAAAAGCCTGTGTTTGTTCCTATTTATCGACAGATTAACATATTACACATCGGTGTGCATTGTATTACAGCCGAGCAGTTTAAAATATCAATCGTTACATAAAACCGCTTCCGGTTTCTATGGCAACCGGGGGCCACTTCCGTTAGGGGTCAGCTCAGTACATGTTGCTAAACTGTAGGGATCAAAACAGATGTAGAGTTTAACGTTTCTTTTGTTCTCTGTGTGGATCATGGGGAGGGGGGGGGGGAGGCGGTGGTGACTTTAATGCTATTTCTAATGTGTTCTACCGTACTGCTAACTGCACGGTAAAGGATACAATAATATTATGATTGCTTTGTAGAGAAATGAAAGTAGATTTTTGGAGAAAAAATATGTAGACTGAACTGGTGGAATTTTCAGCTGTGTTTATTCGCTCACCCTGTACATATAACTCTCACCTAGTATTTTTTTTACATCAATTGTAATTAAAACTAATATATAATCCTTTTTATTCTAAATATTTGTATTCAAGTTTAAAAAAATATCCTTAAACCTAACACTAGCTAATTCAATTTCAAGCTCTATATAACCTTAACATATATATATATATATATATATATATATATATATATATATATATATATATATATATATATATATATATATAAACCAAACTGTAACCTCAACTTAACAAAAAGAAAAATAAGCTGAACCTTTACGAAAACCAACACCTGTCTCTTAATTGAAAATGTCAACAGTGCTAATATCGTTATGTGATTAATGCAATTCACTTATTTACTTATGTTGTTTCCACAAAATTCGTTTAAAGGACTGGGTGGCTTTGTTTCTCTGACGAATACCTACGGTTGAAACATTCGTCGTGTTTAAATACCCTCGTTTACGCACAAGCATTACACTGAGAAGGGGAAAGATGTTTATACTTAACTTTTAAGATAAAAAAAAAATGACCCATATACTTATAAACACAGGAGTGAGCTACATACTAGAATATTCTTTTCAAGGCCCCTCTCTGTTAAAAGTGCAAGATTTAGGGGTGGGGGGGGACTACGACGACTCACGCGGGAAAACCCGTATCAAAGAGGCGAATAAATAAGTTGGGGGTTGGGGGGGGAACCATGAAGGTCAGGGGGTAGACCATTAGGATTAGTGTGGCCTAGCAAAAAACACACCATGCTCAATCTACAGATGCGTTTACAAATCGAAATATTCCACGCAAACTGCGTTATTTAACATACCGAATCTGTTGATACGTAATACAATTGTGTTTAAAGAGATGTAGTCATTCAACAAAAGAAAATGTTTGATTTCCCAATACCATGTGTTGAGTTTTACTGCGTTCAAATACTTTGATTAAGATCAAATGAATGTGCACATAAAAGTAAAAAAAAAATGTAAACCTCATTTTTCCGGACCTAACAAATAATAGTACAGAAGAGGTAGAGTTTTATTATGTATCACATTGGTAGATTAATTAGGGCTCATCTATTAATGTCACTTGTTTTTAACAAACACAAAGAGATCGTGAATACATACAAAAAACATGCATCAACTAGAAAAGTAGGATACACGAAAGGATCAGTAAAGCAAGCATTATTTAAAAACCAGGATATGGATTTTATCCTGTTTTTTTCATTACCAATATTTGATGATGATATATATATATATATATATACTACTCAAGAGCAGAATCCATGTCCTGATTTCCAGCAGATATAAATGTGATTATAAGCATGCAAGATATAATTTATGCCGTATAATATAATAAAACAGGCACGTATTGAAAAAGAAGACCAAATTTAAAAAAAAAATGACCTATTCAACGTTCTTCAAGTTAATATCCTCAGGGTGATTGGGCAAGTCATTTTCTGAGGAAAGAGTTTAAGAACAAAGGGACGTCACTATCGTTTGTTATTTAAAAGGACGCAAAGTGTGTTTACGTTGTTTTATAAACGCATAAAAACATAAAGGGCATGTGTTTGATTCATTAATAATATTAAATCGATTTTTTACGTAGATTTAGGCTTCGGTAAGATACTCTACGTACATTAATTTAAAGAATGCAAATAATGCAAAAGAAAAGACCCTTTTATCTGAAATTAAGACTTTGTATAACAATTTCTTTGAAAATTATTAATTATTGTGAATCGACAGAAATTGGATGACGTTTTTAAACAACAACTAATAATTTAACAATTAAAAAGCAACTAATAATTACACACGAAGAAAAAAAAACAATAGGGCTGGTAAATAGGTCACCAACCAGTTCTATGGTTCATGCAGGTTTTATTGAGCCGTAGAACTGGTTGGTGACCTACTTACCAGCCCTATTTCGATTGTCACTAATCTAGTCGCAGCACAGTATCTCCCCCTATTAAATTCCAGCACCCGAGGTAAACTATCAAATTTGCGCACACCTCCTCCATTTATATATAATTAATCTCATGGACGATAAAGCCCCCTCCCCCACCCTCCCATTTTACTTGTCACTATCAATCAACAGTGTTGTATTGTGATGTCGCAATATGATTTAGGAAATCAAATCAGTATTCTACTATCTTAAGTTCGACTCAGTGATGCTTCTCAGACTGAGCATTACTTGTTTTTTTTCCGTTTGGCGCCCTTCTCTAGCTATGCCTCTGAACCTAGAACGTAATCTTTGCTGGATGCAATCGTTGCTTTACTTTATTTTATTTCCCCAACTTTTACTAAATTTACTGTTTGTTACATAAACTTTATCTAGTCAAAAGAAAATAAAGCAAATATCCCCGTTTTCAAACACTTCTGCAATAGATTGTTACATTTTTATAACATATAACAGATAAAGAAAATAAAGTTTATATTAAAATGAAAATAGTTAAATATAAATTGTTATACGTAAAATAAATTTAAAACGATTATTTAAATCCTTATCATCAATTAAATATGTCAAGATTAAAGCTATATATTTTCTTTTCTTTGAGGCAAAGCTCACCATCATCTCTAAACATATTAAAAGATAATTAAATTCACATAGTAAACGAGTGCTTGGCCTTGACTGAAAGCTTAAAAGTAATCTCCGACTAAATAGTTTTTACATGGTGAAATTAAACCAAAGCCCGGCTAACATGCATTGTACACGTAAAACCGATGAGTCTGTGCGTGTTTGGTTTATTTATGTGCGTAAAGGATTAAAAGCTAGCAGAAAATCTATGACATTAAAATACTAAACATAATCATAACGTTTGTGCAAGTATAAAAATATTTAAATAAACATTTCTAAATTAAATTTGCAACACATTTTATAAAACCTTGTAAAACATAACAATTAAAATAATAACAATTTTTAATTAGTTTTTTTTTTGGTTTAAAACTTAAATAGATTCCTCTAATGGCAATATGTATATACATCAACGTAAAATAATAATGATATATTATGGTATTGTCTGTATAATAAATGTGTTAACCTTAGTAGGGGTTGCTTAAATATGTGGTTACGATTTTATTATGTCTACTCAATGAAAAAAAAATGTATTAGTCTTTTAGTATTTAAAGAAAAGCTTACTTTAGATCTTACTATAACTTTAAAATAAACCTAAAGTAAGCATTGATAAGCGGACTGTCACAGTTGTATAATCTCTAACCTTAACCGAAGTGGGTTGGGTTAAACATTTTAGACGGGGGGAAGGGGGGAGAGTTGTAAGAAACAAATGGGCGTGATTTTCTGGGATTACTCACTCATTTTGGTTAGAGCCTCGTCCAAGTTGATGATTCCCTTGTACGGGTTCAACACCAGCTTGTACACAAGGGCGGCAACTATACCTCCAGCTATAGGCCCTACCCAGTAGATCTGTGGGAGACGGGACAGAGTGTTTTACGTCAAGATGGATAATAATACATATATACATATGTCTGTCTGTCTGTCTGTCTGTCTGTCTGTCTGTCTGTCTGTCTGTCTGTCTGTCTGTCTGTCTGTCTGTCTGTCTGTCTGTCTGTCTGTCTGTCTGTCTGTCTGTCTGTCTGTCTGTCTGTCTGTCTGTCTGTCTGTCTGTCTGTCTGTCTGTCTGTCTGTCTGTCTGTCTGTCTGTCTGTCTGTCTGTCTGTCTGTCTGTCTGTCTGTCTGTCTGTCTGTCTGTCTGTCTGTCTGTCTGTCTGTCTGTCTGTCTGTCTGTCTGTCTGTCTGTCTGTCTGTCTGTCTGTCTGTCTGTCTGTCTGTCTGTCTGTCTGTCTGTAAGTCTGTCTGTCTGTCTGTCTGTCTGTCTGTCTGTCTGTCTGTCTGTCTGTCTGTCTGTCTGTCTGTCTGTCTGTCTGTCTGTCTGTCTGTCTGTCTGTCTGTCTGTCTGTCTGTCTGTCTGTCTGTCTGTCTGTCTGTCTGTCTGTCTGTCTGTCTGTCTGTCTGTCTCTGTCTGTCTGTCTGTCTCTGTCTGTCTGTCTGTCTGTCTGTCTGTCTGTCTGTCTGTCTGTCTGTCTGTCTGTCTGTCTGTCTGTCTGTCTGTCTGTCTGTCTGTCTGTCTGTCTGTCTGTCTGTCTGTCTGTCTGTCTGTCTGTCTGTCTGTCTGTCTGTCTGTCTGTCTGTCTGTCTGCTAAGTGGAACTCACCCAATGATGTTCCCATGAGTTGGAAGCGATGGCTGAACCAAGCGATCTAGATGGGTTCATGCTAGAGCCTGTATAGTTGATCTAGAACAAGAGTTGAGTTTGTGTGTGATCTTAGTGTTGGATGTTTGTTTAAAAAATAAATTATTTCAGGTTAAAAGAAACTTAGGCTTTTATTTAATTTCTTTACGGCGAAAAGTTCTCTAACATAAAAATAAAGATAAAAGTTTGCTCTCTTCTTGAAATGGTAGAATTAAAACTTAATTAAAAATTTAAAAAATTAATTTATCTAATCATAATATTTTACAAAAGCTGAACAAACCGTATATAACTGTACTATCATTATGAACTCTATATTTATGTAAAATATGCAGTTTCCCATAAACATACTAAAATCAGCCTGTTTATAAGTGTAATACAACATCTTGCAACCAGAGTTTCTTTCAGGAATGTCATCTGCCCCTTCCCCTTTTTCCGGAGCACGACTACCGCCCCGCCCCCTCGGAAATAGTATATACGTCCAATACCCCCCCCCCCCCCCACACACACACATACATACACCAAAATTTCCAAGCTCCGTCACATAGAATTGCAATGTCTAAAATAAATCTTGTTCACCACTACACCCCACAATAGTTATTCCTGGCTTTTAAATTAATTTAATTAATTAATTTAATTAATCAATTAAACTTAATTAATTAATTCATAAACAACAAATTGTGATTACAAATGTAAATGTCCTTATTAGTTTTTGGTATGTTTTTTCTTTAATAAAATAATCGTGTTTTACATTTTGTATTTTAACGCTCATGAGCGACCTTTATGAAAAAAAAATCTACTCACCCCTGCCAAGTGACCAAGAGTGACGGTCAAGCCAATGAGAAGGGCGGGGCTACCAAAAGATGGGCGGTTGGGGTCAGTGGTGCCGAAGATAACAGCTACGAGAACAAAGGTCAGGATGAGCTCTACACCGAAGCCCTGGGCTGGGGTGACGCCATTTCCCAGACTGGTGACGGCGAGATTCTTGTGGAAGATGTGGGGGGTCAGGCTAGGAAGAGATGGAAGGGAACATTAATAGAAGGGTGGAACATATGGGGAACAAATGGGGAAGTAGCTGGGCGTCAGGCTAGGAAGAGATGCGAGGGAACATTAATAGAAGGGTGGGTGTAACAAATAGGGAACTAATGGGGAACATATGGGGAAGTAGATGGGGGTCAGGCTTTGAAGAGATGGGAGGGAACATTAATAGAAGGGTGGGGGTAACATATGGGGAACATATGGGGAACAAGTGGGGAACATGTGGAAGAAGCTGGGGGTCAGGCTAGGAGGAGATGGAAGGGAACATTAGTAGAAGGGTGGGGGTAACATATGGGGAACTAATGGGGAACATATGTGGAAGTAGATGGGGGGTCAGTCTAGGTAGAGATGGGAGGAAACATCAATAGAAGGGTGGGGGGAACATAATTGGAACAAATGGGGAACATATGGGGAAGTAGCTGGGGGATCAGGCTTTGGAGAGATGGGAGGGAACATTAATAGAAGGGTGAAATTAATGTAGAACATATGTGAAACTAATGTGGAACATATGGGGAACCAATGGGGAAGTAGCTGGGTATCAGGCTATGAAGAGATGGAAGGGAACATTAATAGAATGGCAGTGTGAATATATGGGGGACATATGGGGGAAAAAATGGGGAAGAAGTTGGGGGGTCAGGCTAGGAAGAGATGGGAGGGGAACATTAATAGAAAGGTGGGGGGAACATATGGGAGTCAAATGGGGAACCAATGGGGATTATTAGATGGGAGGGGGGATGTGGAACAAATATAGATCAAATGTGGAAGAGAGATGAAACAAAAATTGAAAAAAATTGGAACGAATATACAACACCAACGGAAGAAGACTGTAACACATATGCAACTCATATGGAACAGGAATGGAACAAAACGAACCAAACATTGTGTGAATGTCTCGAGTTTGGGTCATTGACTAGTCCTAGCAAGTCTCTGAGTCCACTCAACACTGATGGGTACCTGACTTAGTTAGGGAACGTAAAGGCAGCTGAACATACTTGCTGACCACATGCCCAGGTCACAGAAACAGGTGAGCTCTATTCAGAGGCGTAGCAAGGGGGAGTGGGCGGGGGGTACGTATGTCCCCGGGCGCCGACCTTAAGGGGCGCCAAAATGGGTTGGAAAATCAAATTGTAGTTTGAGAGAGGGGGGGGGGGGTGCAAATCGAAAGTTTGAGGGGGGGGGGGGGTGTGCAAATCGAATGTTTGAGCGGGGTGCAAATCGAAAATTTGCTCCCGAGGGGGCGCCAAATTGAAAGTATGTCCCCCAGGCGCCGGGAAGGGTCGCTAAGCCTCTGGCTCAATTTCATCTACTCTGTTGTCCGCCATTTTGAATGGGAGCTAAATCACAGCATAATTAATCTCTTAATTAAATAGTGACATACATCACATATTTAGATGAATCTAAAACAGCTATACTGAATTCTGTGACAGTAATTCTACATTACGAGTTACACTTGGCTAATGCTAAATATTAAAGGCCGATTCTAGTTGGAAAAAGGTACGCATGCGCAATGGAGAGAAAACTACCGCCTTCATTCGCGGCGATGTTTCGGATGATGCTGCGCATGCGTGTGTTTACAAACAAACCACAGAACCCTAACCGTATCCTTAACTCTAACCCTAAACCGAACCCTAACCCTAACCCTATCCTTAACTCTAAACCTAACCCTAGCCCTAGCCCTAACCCTAACCATAACCGTATCCTTAACTCTAACCCTAACCCTAAATCCCACCCCAACTCTAACACTAACACTAACCCTAAACCTAAACCTAAACCTAGCCCTAACACAAACCCCAGCGCAGGGCTATTAAGGTCACTGCGCATACTCAGAACTATTATTAAGCTTCGTATCTATTGCCGAAAAATCTTTTTCCGAGTAGTTACTTTGAATACTAAATGACTAAATTGTGCCCTTATTATGTTTTTTTTTTTTTTTTAAATAGTAGTAAGCTTATATTATATTCCAACAGACAGAGATTATACCAATCGACTTTGAGAGACGACAACGATGAAGTATTTGGTTATTGTTAAGAATGAGGTACGTAATAACGCGTTTGTAAGCGAAGAACTCAGTGGTACCCTCTAACGGAAATGGTACTCACCCCTTGAGCAGAAAACCTCCAAGAATGGCGCCAATGACTTGAGCCACGACGTATAGGACGGCCCTGACGACGGAAATGTTCATGACAACCGCCATGGCAACCGTGACTGCCGGGTTAATATGGCCGCCGCTAACATGGCCAATCATCTGGACTAAGGCCATGATGGCCAAACCAAAGGCCAGAGCTATCTGGAAACAAAAAGTTTATAAAAATATAAATATAAAAATAAAATAATTTAATGAACCAAAACGGTTATAAATAGGGCTGGTAAGTAGGTCACCAACCAGTTCTACGCTCAATAAAACCTACATGAGCCATAGAACGGGTTGGTGACCTACTTACCAGCCCTATTGAATATAAACACGGTTTGTAGTAAACTTCTCTTTGAAACCAGTGGATCTTAACCTGTGTTCGATCGAACCCCAGGGGTTCGGTGAGTCAGTCTCAAGGTTATGCTGAGGTCAGAACACACCAGTCTCATATGGTTCACGATCGGATTTTGTCAGTGATTTTGTCAGTGATTTTGTCAGTGATTTTGTCAATGATTTTGTCAATAGAATTGTTAAAAAGGTTAAGTGAATGCGCATATGAAACTGGTGGGGTTCGGAAAAAAGGTTAAGGACCACTGCTCTAAATAAACCGGGAGTGATCTCCCCTAAACTTTCTCGAATATTCTTATATAAAATAACAGGGGATGGGAACTCGGGCTATAGAAATTATTTTTAATCCATTTTAAATACTTAAAGTTTTAAAAATAGAATAAAATCTCGTAGACAAATTAATTGCACACCAAGTGAACGCTAAATAAAAAACGCATAATAGTGCGCAATATTATTAGTACTTTTAAAATTTAAATTAGTTTTTTGAGAAATCGGAAGTAGCGTAAAGTACTACTTCCAGTCAACGTAAATTACTCAAAATTTTATAGAAGGTAGAGAATTAGATCTTTTACTTACATGTGAAATATCATTTATCTATCTGAAATAGTACTCAAGTTATAGGCTTTTGAAAAATTCAAAGTTGAAAAAGTACCACTTCCGGTTGTCGGAAATCGCTCAAAAGTTGATACGGATCTACGATTTTGATAAAATACTTATATATGAAATTTCATCAACCTAGCTGTAACGGTACTTAAGTAATCGTGTTTACACACGGACAGACACACAGACACACAGACACACACACACACACAGACATACGGACAAGATTGCAAAATTATGTTTTTCCGTATCAGTGAGGTGTAAAACGTCGAGATTTGTAAAAATCTCGATTTTTTTTTTGCAAGATTACAATACTTTCTCTATACTTCGTATATACGAGAAAGTAACAACGTGAAGAGTTAACCATAGTTCTTTTCTTTGCGTTGTGATAACTCTCACAAATGGATGCTTCTGATCAAGATACAGTTCAAGATTGTGAACATTTATAAATGCATTAATAAAATGAATATGCTACGCTACTACATTCTATCTTTTTGTATCTGCATGGAATCTACTACTACTACTACTACTACTAGCTTTGTCTACAAATGCAATCCTACATTTAACCTAATTCTAAGTTTACTTTAGCCTTAACTTTCTGCTTCTTCTTTTCTTTTCTTAATTGTCATAATGGAAGAGATTCATAATTCTCTTCTTTCGTTAAGGATTATTTCATTCGTGCAAAGTAAATACAAACAGTAAAAATACCTACGAAAAACAAAATATGTACTAATAAAAAAGTATTTAAATTGTTTTTATGACGATACATTTCTTTTTTTTTTTTTGCAACGTTATTATACAGTACAGCAGTGGCGTCGCTAAGTCAGGTGTCGACCAGTGCGACACCTCATGATTTCACACCCACTCCCAAATATAACATAGACTAATATATATGGTTGTAATTTGTGCCTAATGGCGTAAATCTGTATGCTCATTACATGGAAAAAGCATCGTTTTCAATGAAAATTATTAGATTTTGGTGTCACCCCGACCCCGGTCGTTGACTATTAGTTAATCAAAATATTCAATAAAACCTGTTTTCCTCTGTACATTTTGTAATTGGTGTCGACCCCCCCCCCCCTTCACGCCCTTCGAGGATAGTTATAAAGTGTCCACAGATAATATTAAAGACGTTTACCTATAGCTAGTTATTTATGCAGGTGGATTAACTCTAATTAATCATAAATTCAACTGGCAAAATGCATTTTTACATTTAGATATTTTGCTATTTTTCGCTAAGTTCTCACCCCCAAAAATAGGAAGAAAAAAAGAAGTATTGAACAGATTATTGATAAAGCCACCAAAAAAAAAAATCAGAGAAAGTGCCCCATCTGAACTCTGTATACTACCAAAGGACACAAAATTTCGGAAAAATCAATTTTATTTGATTTTTATTAAACAATCTCCATGTTATTAAAAACAATAGGTGCAAAAATAAAAGTGTAGAATAATAAAATAAAAGAAACATCCATCCCTCATCTATACACCTATATTGTCATTCAAACACCCCCCCCTCCATTTTAAAGCTATGTATACACAGAAACACCCCCACCCCAAATAAATAACAGGTTACACTCCAGCCTGTGGGGTATCAAACCACGCTACCCACACAATTTCCACACACATTAACGTTCTTTAAACGTTCACACGCAGCTATTAAACGCCATATGGCTTCTTCAAGGCTAACATTTAAAACGTCACTACTAAAACATTCAGGATCACTCGCACTGTAATTACCTCCCTTCACCACTGTAATACACTCCCTTTAACCATGTTATTACCGCGCTTTCCAAATTATGAAACCCGGTGTCATTTATAATCTTCCGAAAACTCTTAGCACTTTTAATGGCATGGCTTATAGAACCACATAAAGCAATCAAGTCCATAAATTAGCAATCAGTGTGACGTATTTATTTATTTTCTTACCGCCGAGGAAAAGACCATTAGGTACAGAGTTATTCGACTTTACAGCTTTTGCGTCATAACGAAATAGGATGTGTTCATATTTTGAAACCCTTTGTTAAACGTACCCAATAACCTACTGTATATATATATATATATATATATATATATATATATATATATATATATATATATATATATATAGGCCTATATATATATATATATATATATATATATATATATATATATATATATATATATATATATATATATATATATATATATATATACATATACATACATATATATATATATATATATATATATATATATATATATATATATATATATATATATATATATATATACATATGTATATACATGTCTATATATGTATGTGTATATATATATATATATATACATACATACAAATAGATAGATGATATATATACATGTGTATATATAGATAGATAGATAGATAGATAGATGCCTATATATATAGGGACCTATATATAAATATGTATAGTTATGTATGTATGCATAAGAATTTTAGCTGTGTGTCTATGTATGTGAGCTGTGTGTGTGTGTGTCTGTCAAAGTTTTTATGATCTTACAAAGTTTTATTCAGCCTGTGAAGGTCTTCGTCTGTCTGGCAAAGTTTTGCGTCAAATCTGGGAGGGCTTTTTAGACACGATGACATTAACTGCGTTTTATTTTCGTCAAGTTTTTATTTTCATGACATATGAAAAAAGACACCTGTCTGACGAAAGTTTTGTTTGTTTTTCTCATCCCTAAACCCACACCCATACAAACCTAAAACAAACCTTAGCTCCTTAATCTATTTCTAATCCGTTATAATCTGCAACACGAAATATAACACTAACACAACTAAAGTTTGGCTTTGAATATATAGCCTACTTCAGCTGCCACCACCGATCCAACCCTTCTCTACATAATACAAATGTTGACATTTAAAAGTGGTAAAAGCCAACCAATATTCCCTAAATGCACGCCTCAGAAATATTTGCTGAAAAGGCAAATCAGGAAATTTGTGCAAGCAATTGTGTGACAATACTGGCGCCTTCCATACAGGGACCGCTGTCTATTACGCAATATGCTAATCAAAATATCAATGCGCCTGGCAAGGTTAATTAACACCCCGTGTAATTGCCGGTATTAACATATAATAATTCTTAAATGCTCTGATTTAAGCAGTGAATCTAAGATGAGTTTTACGTAGCTTAAGTTAGATTTATAACATTTTTGACAGAAGTTAATTATTATGTTTATGGTAATTATTAATTAAGTGAAGTGGTTTTGTTGTAGAGCACAGGAATACTAATATCAATGTCCAGAGTTTGGTTCCCAGGATAGAGGCCTGAGTTAATTGAGCCATTTTGAGTACCGGACTAAGATCGTAAACCAGAAAGATTGTTTAGTACTAATAATATAATTTTTTTTTACGCTTAGATAGAAGTCACACCGTCTATAATTACGGACTGTTACATATGAAATAGAGCATGTTTTTAAATTCTTGTTTACAATTTTACCACTTGATTTGTAAAGTTTCCGGTTTAGACCTGGCGGTTCATGAGACAAGTGAAGTAGAGTTCACCTGTTTCTGTGACCGTGGCGTATAAAGGTATAGGCCTAGTGTGGTCAGCATCATGACAAGCTACTTTTACTTTAGGAACTTATCAGAGCAGGGTAGACTCATGGAAGTTCTTTTGACTTGAACGAGGATTCGAACTCGAGACTTTATCAGTCTATCGACTTGATAGACAACGTAAAATAATTTTATTTTTAATTCAGTAATTGCAGATTATCACGGACAGTACAAAATGTAATGGAATAATTGAAATCCTATGCTCCACAAGGATTAATAATGATTAATAAAGTCAGAAATTGCAATATATTTTAGGACGCGGTTTTAAAAATTGGGAAAGAAATAAGAAGATTGTATTGAGAATTTTCATAAATCGGTTCTGATATTGACGATCGTTGAAATGTGTTTTTAAAAGACTGCAGAGCCCCACAGTAGGAGATAGGGCGGTGGTGGGGCCTACAGAATTCTATGCTGGTGATAAACACGTCAGTCAAAACCGGAAACAATTTTTATCAGATAATCCGAAAGTTCAGAACGAGACCAAAGGCTGACATAATTTGATATTTTGAATGCATACAGATTAAATTTTTATTTTAGGTTTTGATTCATACGATTTATTTTGTTGTTTGTTTGCCAAATTATAACAGCATTACTTAAACTAATAATTTAATTTAATTTTGCTTTTTCTATTATATTTTGT